TATTTCAGGGGCGGACCAGCAGACAAATTGATATCTCTTTAGTATTATTGCTCGGGTGGGCAAATCGATACTTTGCAGGCGAATTCTTGTCTTTAAAACAGCAAGCAACAGGTGAAGGATGACTCGTCTGTCGATGGGTTTATGTATAGGGTGATGTCAGGAGCGATATCTCGGTGAGCAGTGGGGCTGGCGAGGCAGAGGATTCGGGGCGACAGGGCGACTAATACGGTTGGTGCTGGTTTATGGGTTCTGTAATAGAAAAGTAAATTAGGGCTGGTTTGTTAGCGGGGGGATATATATGTTATAAAACGAAACAATTAAGGTTGTAGTAAAAATGAAAACTTTAGCAAAGTGGCAGCAGTTGTGACATATTATTGGAGGCCAGCCGCTCATGGAGGGTTTGAATAGAAGTAAAAAAGGGAATAATTAGCAAAATGGTGACCTTTGTGTCCTAGTAGAGAAGGCCGGCCGCTCATGGATGGTTTAAACTGTAGTAAAAAGGAGAAAGTACAACAGAAGGTCGGGTGTCTTGTCATAGTGTTAGAGGTTGGTAGTTTAGGGAAAGATTAGGTTGCAGACAAAATGAAAACTTTAGCAAAAGGGTGGCCATTGCGACATTAAAATGGATGCCGGTCGCTCAAGGAAGGTTTGAGTTGAAGTGAAAAAAGATAATTTTTGACAAAACAGCGACCCTTGTGTCATAGCAGCGAATGCCGGCAGTTGAGTGAGGGTTTGGGTTCAAGTAAAATGGGGGAATTTATGGCAAAACGGCGACCCTTGTGTCATAGCAGCGAAAGATGGGTCGCAGGGGCTGTGCCCCAACCGACGGTTGCTGCGTCTCTGTCTTTCTCAAAGACATGCGCCATCTCGTGGGTGCTTTAAGCCGTCCGTCGAGAAAGATATAGCCCTGTTTTGGCACCTAAAATTGCCCCAGCACCCTTTCGTCGCCTGGTAGCGCCGCCTCTGACCTACAACTTAAACCCTTGCTGGCTTTCGAGCCACCCTTTCTCATATATTCCCGGTCATCAAGCTACCTTCCTAGGTTTTCTTTATCTAAACCCTAAAACGGCCCCCTGTCAAAATCTTAAAACGGCCGCCCGTCACTGTCACATATAAGTATATTTTCATATCCCCTAAATTGTTTCGTTTTATAACATAAATATCCCCCCGCTAACAAACCAGCCCTAATTTACTTTTCTATTACAGAACCCATAAACCAGCACCAACCGTATTAGTCGCCCTGTCGCTCCGGGTCCTTTGACCTGCCTGCCCCTCTGCTAACCAAGATATCGCTCCTGACATTACCCTTTACATAAACCCATCGACAGACGAGTCATCCGTCACCTGTCGCCTGCTGTTTTAAAGACAATAATTCGCCTGCAAAGTATCGATTTACTAACCCGAGCATAATACTAAAGAGATATCAATTTGTTCGCTGGCCCGCCCCTGAAATATATTAGCATAAATCAATAACCAACACCGACATACCGACAATGAGTCACCCGTTGCTATGGAGACAAAGTATCGATTTATACACCATATGTCTTTCCCCGCCCGGCACCCCGGGAGACAATGGAGAAAACATATTGATTTAATATACCTTCCCCCTCCCCTAAAACCAATCACTCGTGCCGTCACCAACCACCCGATCGATATTTACTAAGGATAAAGACGCTGGCGGTTGCAACAGCCGGAAAAAAACCAATCACTTGTGCAGTCAGATGGCCGCCATCTTTTACTAAGGATAAAGAAGGCGGTTGAGCCAAAAATCGATAGGGATGCGGCCTCAAAGACCCTATATAACTACTGGTGCTGATCAGTTTAATAAACAATAAACAATGGCAGCCATGCTAATAACAGTTAAATTATAATTACGTCCTCAGATACAAGCAGCAGGAGAAGAATAAGTCTTAAAATAGATTCATTCCTTATACTTCAATGGTTCTGTGATTCACAAGAATCAGATATTAGTAACTTCTTTTTTTTTTAAATATATTTTTTTAAACCTTTATGTATTCATTATTTTACGACCAGAACATTGGACCGTTGGCATCACAAACTAGTGAGTTCCTTTCAAAAATATCTTTATATGATCAATATTCTAGGATGATTACATAAGACCTTTAATGTCATAAACCAGAAAATTCCTTTTTTTTTAACCTTCAAACTTCCTTGGTTCTATGTTTCCGTAGTAGGCTTAGTATCAGAAACTAGTAAGTTCCCTTATTTGAACAATTAAGTCTTCCTGATTTTAATATTAGTACATAAGACTTGCCGTAAAAGTCTATGGTTAAGCATCAGCAAGGAGATCAACATTAGAATTTTAAGAGCTTGTATCTTCCCTATAGCAACATACGGATGTAAATCGTGGACTATCTCCCAGTCCTTAAGAAAGAGAATGTGGGCCTTTGAGCTGAACTACTATAGAAAGATTCTCAGAATATCATGGACAAAGAAGAGGAGAAATACTGACATTTTGAAAGATCTGAACATCAATGAAGATTTGCTAATAAACAGCATCCTGCCTCGGAAGCTGAAATATTTTGGTCATATCAAGCGTCACGACGGATTGGAAAAAATTATAGCAAAAGACATAGTACCAGGAAGGATGGGCAGGGGTCGACCGACACAAAGATGGGCACAGGATATCCGTGACTCTTTGAGTATGAAAGTACATAAGGCGGGAGAGCTGGCGAAAGACCGAGTTTATTTCGGGCTGACAGTGATGAGAGCGACGTTCTGCAAAGGACCTGCTACATGATGATGATGGTGGTTTTGACAGTAGTACCAAGAGTCCTGTAAATGATACGCAACTAACATAATCCGTTGTTTGATCTTGTCACACAGGTCTCCGGAGCTATGTATTCATATGTTTTCCATTGCCAATATTCGTCTGCCAATATTTACAGTCAATTTTAAGACTAGACAATATTTGCTTGATTCTCTTTTATTTAATTGATTTAAGAAAAACGTCTTTTGCTTCGAGGTTGTAATTCAGTTTGTAATTCGGTTTTTATTCTGGCTGTTGGCGATTTGGCATTATACCGATTTGGGGAAAAAGAGGGAAAAAAAAAAAGGGGGGGGGGGTGGTGGTGGGGGAATTTCGACAACGATATAAAGGGCCAACTGTTTAGTACATTAGCAAGCTACTAAAAGTAAAAATTGTCTAGAAAATCACCTGTGGCTAATAAACGTTAGAGGCATGATCATGCAAAACCCGTTTCGGTAGTTTGATTAAAAGAGCAGGAAATGTAAATTAGCAGGTGGGGCCCTTCAAACGAAGCAACCGGGGTGTTTATAAGTAGGTTGTGAGCATTTTTGCACAGTGTTGTTACCAAACCGGAATAGGGGTGGGTAAGTAATTGTGGTTTCACGGTCCTGTTCATGTTTTCCGGCCCATCTACACACTACTCGATCTTTCATTCATACTTTCTCTGACTCTTCTACGTCGGAGGGGTGTCACGTTGTCTTCCCTCTAATTACATCAGCGTTGATGTCACGTTTTTTATTCTACACGACGACACAGCTTTCAGCGATCCCACAACATGTAGAACTGGTCCTAACCCAACCCCCCCCCCCCCATACCCACAGCCCCAACCAAGGTGATACGAAAGATTCTTTTCGTAGAAAGCAGTACAACGTAACACCTCTCCGACCTAGATCAGATTCAGAAAGTGTGTAAATAGGCCGGGAAACGTGAACAAGTCCGGTTTCACTACTTCAAGCTGTGTGTCTAAACAGCCAGCATGCCACGGAAACTTTCAATGTCACGAAATCACACACACACTCACACACACACAAACGCATGCACGCACTCGTACACACAACACACACACACACACACACACACACACACACACGTCTAGTTCCCGTTTCATTTTCCAGGTCCTGAATCTGCCATCTTCCCCAACATTGAGAAACATGTCTAAAATTGCACGGCAACAGAAGCGCTGCCACAAATGTAGTCTTTCTTTTTACTTCTGCCATACAAACAGTTTCTATATGCCTCTTGCACATGCATGTAATAAACTCATTGAAACAGGTCTCCTTTGACAACGCCTCTTTTAGAACTACATGAAAAGACCACAAAGTCGTATATGATCATTCTTATTTTTTATTTAGAAAAATACACATTAATAATATCAACATGAAGAAAAGGCAGGACTTAAATATACAGTATAAACTCCAGTGTTGCCACCTCTCTATTTTGACCTCCTACCTATCTTAGCAATTTTACTAGTTTGCTAGTCTCGTGTGTAGTGAACTTACAGAAGTTCTGCTGTAGAAACAAACTGAAAAGGTATTGAACACGCGTTTGCTTTTTATTACTTCAAATATTCATAACTACAAGGTCATTCAGAATCGTTAAATTTAGGTTCCGATTTCAGATTAAAAGGAAATCACAAAATGTGTTTGCAAAAAAAAGCGACCGACGTTGTGCTAATTGAGTACTATATTGATTTCTGATATGTATCTACAATGTTATGCTGCATATGGTGGTTGTACCTCTTAAACTGATTTTTGGCAGGTCTTCTTTACATGTCTTACCGCTAAGACTAAATTGTATCTGCTCTTTTGAAAGTTTTCTTGTCTCTACGATTTTCTTGAATCCGATTTCCTCCTCCGCCTTCTTCTTCTCCCTCTCATCCTCCTTCCTATCTCCATCCTGCCCCCTCCTTTTGTTGTTGTTGTTGTTGTTGTTGTTGTTCTTCTTCTTCTTCTTCTTCTTCTTCTTCTTCTTCTACTCATCCTCCTCCTCCTCCTCCCCTCCTCCGCATTCTTCTTCTTAATTAGATGCCTGTCGCGGCATTATTTCTAGAGAACAGCAGTTCTATTCCATCCAGACACTTCTTCCAAAAAGGCCACGGAACCCACAAGGGGAGACAACAACTCACTGTACAGATTCCAAAATAGCAAGCTTTTAAACTACCAAAAGTTATAACCTATGAAGGATGAAATCATATTTTCGTTTTTGTTTTTTTCCCTACAGATTTTAAACAATGAAAAATCTGAGAATATTCAAAGTCGCAGGAATCATTTCTCTTATCATGTTTTCTATTTGGCTGACGCTCCGTTTCAGGTGCAGCACTATCCAAACGTCTATCAACAAACAGGACTACGGTGAGCTGAAACTTTATTACTGAAAATATTTGATTTAATCGACTATCTGGTTCACTTATAGTGATGTACTTGACATTTTTGATTAGACAGATTGATCGATCGAGCGACTTTTAGGATTATATATAAAGTATTTATTGTAATAAAATTGATGGATCGATCTATGGACTTACATGGCTGTACTCTTCTTTTTCGTAGCGTTGCCCGGTTGTAAACGTGGCGGACAGTTCTGGACTTTAAACTTGTTCAGAAACTTAAGTTTTGTGTGCGCATTCATTTTACAGATCTGTCTCACAAGTTTACAAGCTTTTGGTTCTTAGCCTTTTAGCCAGATACACTCTGACTTTGAAAAAAAAAAAAACCTAATTAGTCTACTTGTATTACTTGCTGGTTGGGGGGTGGGGCAGTAGGTCCACACCCAACACCCCCCCCCCCCACACACACACACACACAATGGGGCCCTGGAACCTAAACAAGGTGTGACAGTGCCTAAAGCAATAGATTTAATTGATCTGATCGACTGATGAAGAGTTCCCGAAAAATCAACCAACGCAAAAAGCAGGCAACCAAATCCTCCAGCTCTATAAACAATCAAGTAAACAGTCAGCCAAGGAAAGAACAAACTCACCATTAAACTGAACAGCTTTAAAACGAAATAAGTAACCCACTATATTCAAAACGTCAAACTCAAATTCTGGAACATAACCAACATCCAGAAGTGAAAAAAAAAAATCATAGCACTTATTGTAGTTCAAAGTCGTCTCTGTGTGGGATGCAATTTTGCGTTATTTTGAAGCCCCGCCCTGGCTTTTGCTGGGGCCCTAAATATAGCCGGGCTTGAAATAGGACGTAACGGCTGAACGGGGTTTCCGGGACCTCTCCACGGGTGATCCTCATCTGCACGGTGACACTTTGTGTCACCGGGTGTTTATCGCTCTGTGTGATGTCCTGATGGGGTATCACTTACCATAATACCTACCAGAACTTTCCATCGGAGTTAACAGCTCTTGAAAGCGAAGAAGAAGCAGAATCAACCTATTTAACACCAAACTAAACAAATACATATTTTCCTGTATAACTTTACTTGTCATCTTTCCGCTAGGCCCTGTCAGACCCACACAAAATCACCAGGAGCCTGTGTACAACAAAGGTGGGTAGGTTTGTTTTTATATTAAGGTTTCTTCATCCATCTGAACTTCAATTACCTGGCATACCATCACGTATATAAATGTTTACTCCCTGCATACCTAGAGACCTACCTGCATGTCTGAATGCATACGTCTGCTGCCAACTAATAGAACTCGGGATAATTCCATAAGTGCTCCATCCCCATCTTCAACAGCTATCACAGAGGTCTATTTCTGATGGTAACAGTAACAGTCTGTTTGTACATCCGTCTCGCCTTTCCTCTGCCTGTTGATGTCGCCCAGATCCTCTTTTATCTCCCCCTGCAGCTTCCTTTTCAGATCATGATTTAATTTTCCCCAACACGGGTCACTTGCTCCAGCATAGCCTTGAATACACCTTCATGCTCTGGAGAAAGAACATATCTAAAGAACGCTAGCTTTCTACCGTTGATCAAGTCAACATGTGGAGTCCAGAGTATGGTTTAGACCAACGGTTCTCAACCTATGGGTCCCTACCCCTTTGTGGGTCGAACGAGTCTTTCACATGGCATACTAAGACCAGCGGAAAACACACAATTACTGGAGTTATGAAGTAATGAGGAAATAATTGCATGGTTGAGGGTCACCACAATATGAGGAACTGTGTAACTAATCACGGCATTACGAAGGTTGAGAATCACTGGTTAAAACATTAACACCCTAATTAGTCTACTTTTATTACGTGCATTGGGAAGGGGGTGGGCAGTGGGTCCACTTCCCCCCCCCCCCACACACACACACAATGGAGCCCGGAACCTACACGAGGAATGACAGTACCTAATGCTTCAGTTTTGATAGATTCAGTCGACTGATAAAGAGTTCCCGATAAATCAAAAACGCAAAAAGCGCGCAACTTAACAATCAACCAAATCCTCCAGCTCCATAAACAATCAAGTAAACAGTCAGCCAGGGAAAGAACAAACTCACCATTAACTGAACAACTCAGAAACAAAATAATTAACCCACTATATTCAAAACGTAAAACTCGCGTTCTGGAATACGACCAACATACAGAAGTAGACGTAAAAAAAAAAAAAAAAACAGAACACATTCACACATACTAATTAATCATCCCCTTGTGGGATGCAATTTTTTATATATATGAAAGCCCCACCCTGGCTAGTGCCGGGAGCCGCAATATAGCCCGGCCATAAATATGGTCTAATGGCTGAACAAGGTTTCCGGGACCTCTCCACGGGTGACCTTCATCCACATGGTGGCACTTTGTGTCATCGGGTGTTTATGCTATATACAGGCCAACCCTGGCTTTTGCAGGAGGCTCTAAATGTAGCCGTGCCTGAAGTATGGCCAAATGGCTAAACGGGGTTTCCGGGACATCTGCATGGGTGATCCTCATCTGCATGCTAGCACTTTGTGTCACTGGGTGTTTATCGCTTGTGTGATGTCCTGGTGGGGTACAACTTATAACGCTTACCTACCAAAAATTTTCATCGGAGATTACAGGTCGCGAAAGCGTAGAAAAAACCAAATCGACCTATTTAACAACAAAATAAACAAATACATTTTTTCCTGTAAAACTTTACTTGTCATCTTTTCGCTAGGCCCTGTTAGACCCACACAGATCCAAAATGACCAGGAGCCTGTTTACAACAAAGGTGGGTAGGTTTCGTTTATATATTAGGTATTCTTCATCCATCTGAACTTCAATTACCTGGCATACCATCAGGTGTAGAAAAGTTTACTCCCTGCATACCTACAGACCTACCTAACTACTCACTCACCTGCCTGCATGTCTGAATGCAAATATGTCTGCTACCAACTAAGCTGAGTTTAGGTAAGAACCAATATAATAGAACTAGGGAAAATCCCCATTTTCAACAGCTACCACAGTGGTCTATTCCTGGTGGTACCAGTAACAGTCTGTTTGTACATCCGGTCTCGCCTTTCCTCTGCCTGTTGATGTCGCCCAGATCCGCTTTTATCTCCCCGTGCAGCTTCCTTTTCAGATCATGATTTAATTTTGCCCCAACACAGGTCACTTGCTCCAGCATAGCCTTTAATACGTCTGCATGCCCTGGAGAAAGAAAACACCACAAAAACGCTAACTTTCTAGCGTTGATCAAGTCAACATGTGGAGCCCAGAGTATGGTTTAGACCAACGGTTCTCAATCTATGGGTCGCGATCCCTTTGTGGACCGAACGAGTCATTCACATGGCTAGCCTAAGACCAGCAGAAAACACACAATTACTGGAGTTATGAAGTAATGAGAAAAACAATTGCATGGTTGAGGGTCACCGCAATATGAGAAACCGTGTAACTAGTCACGGCATTACGAAGGTTGAGAACTACTGGTTTAAACATTAACTTACGAAAAACAAAAACAGTGGTAATTTACAAATGAAAAGAGCGACCACCAGTCAACATCACAGTAAACGGGGAGATATTAGAATTAGTAACAAGTTTTTCCTATCTAGTACAGGTAGTAACATATGATGGAATAAGCGAAACAGAAATCAAAAAGAGAATATGAATTGCTAAAATGTTTTCAATAAAATGCTAGTTATTGACAGCTAGAGAGATCAATAACACACCAAAAATGATAATCGTCAAATGTTATGTATACTGTCCTGAATTATGGTGCATAAACGTGGACAGTGAACAAGTAACTATAAAATCGAATTGAGTCACTGGAGATGTGGGTATACAGAAGAATAGGTCGTATTTCATGGAAACAAAAAACTATCCAACACAGAGGTTCTGTTAAAGCTTCAACTGAAAAGAGAATTGCTGAAAAAAAAAAAGATGAAAAGAGACAATTGAAATACTTTGGCCACATTAAAAGACATAACACTTGTAAAAACGCACTGCCAGCTCCAGATTTATGATTAACACAGACCGTAGAACTGCAAATATACAAAAGGTGGATGAACTACCAGAAGTTTCCGCAAGAGTTTACAGCCAGTGTTCGCGAAGCAAAGCAAAAGCCAGTTTACAAAAATTAACAGACCGTATAGCTGCAAATATGCAAAAGGTGGATGAACTACCAGAAGTTTCCGCAAGAGTTTACAGCCAGTGTTCGCGAAGCAAAGCAAGAGCCCGTTTACAAAAATTAACAAACATGTAATTATACTGTTAGTCAACAATCAGTAAAGAGGCAAAGAGTGACTTGCTGTGAGAGATTAGTTAGTAAATTAAATATTATTTTCATCCACTTACCTAGAGCCCCGAAATATCTTGACACAATTTAGCCACAGTGTGGTACACCATTTATGCACAGTCAACATGAAAGCAATAGTTTTCTTCAAACACAAGATAGTTTGCACCTGACAACTGTCGATATTCTCCAGATATGACTTCTAAATTACATGTTTGTATTATCCCTAAAAGTTAGATTTCTACATTTAAAGTAGAAAAGTAATAAACAGCCAGTTCCCAAAAATCCGAACTACTGACTAGAAACAGTGACACTGACACACACATCACAACACGACTGTCTCCCATGAATTACAATTACAATTGCTGTAATCTAACAGCCTGTATGTCCACTTTACACTATCCGCTTGTCGATTTGTAATGCGAATACAATCAGAACACAGAAGTGTGTAAGCATGTTATAATGTCCCAAAATGCAACATGGAAACGCTTGCAGTAACCAATTTACCAGGGGGACTCCTCGAAAATGTGCCGTGATTCAGCTGTACGGCCTTACTGGAGCTGGCCGTGTAAAAACGATACTGGAGGAAAAGGTCAAAGGTCAGAGATAGGGAACGATACAAGTGGGAGGAAAACATCAAGAGATGGACGGACAGCAGTCTGAGAGAGTTTACAACTACTTACAAAGACCAGTGACCAATCTGGAGGTACATTGTGCAACTTATCATGTCCCTCGCCTATAAACCCCTCCTCTGACTAGTCGACACGACCACTTGACCCTCTCTTCATACCCGCATTTAACATTGTGTCATGATACTGACTAAATATACTAAGTTTTCAAATTGTTATATAAAACTCATAGCACTATATGCATCAGGGACCCTAACACCCCACATCTGACTAGCTGACACGTCAGCTTGGCTTCCTTACTGAGTTATCGGTACCTAACCCTGCTCCATGACACCCTCCCTTTGTCATAATGTTTCCTTTTGTCCTCTATATAAAGCCATAGCACCTATGTCTTTGAAGCCCAGATGACCCCTAATGACCCATAAAACTCCTTATTAATTAACTGATCTGACAACTTGAACCATCAGTGATCCGCTGGCACCTAGCATTGTACCATGACATCCACCACTTTGCAGTAAGTTTTCTTTTTTTCTAATACGGAAACCTTCACTGAGCATTTGGAACCTAACACTATGACATGACACCTGCCATTTCCCTTACGTTTTTTTTTTCACTACAGCGTAAACCCTTTTTGGCGGTCGGTACCTAACACTATGATATAAAAACTAGCCATTTTGCCTAAATTTTTCATGTTTACTACAACTTAAACCGTCATTAGTCAGCTGGCATCTAACACTATAATACTGAATTTGTGGTTTTGCTTTAAGTTTTCATTGCTACTCAATATAAAGCCATAGCATCATATACTGTCTTCCCTAAATTATCCCTAAAACTCCTAATGGTACTAGCTAACACGGCAACTTGACTTCGTCAATGAGCTGCCGGCACCTTACACTATACTATGACATCCACCAATAGGCCATACGTTTTCAGTTTTACTACAACTAAACCCTCACTGAGAGACTGACATCGAACACTGTGATACAACACCCGCCATTTTGCCATATTTATTTTTCATTTTCACTCTATATAAAGTCATAGTACCAAATGTCCAGAACACACTGATGACTCCTGAAATAAATGAAAATGACGTCCCACAAGGAAATGACGAATTGAACGTATAGCTCGTTAAAGGCTGGTCACAACTATACTATAAATCACACATCCTTTTTTGTATTTCGTGTGTTTATTATAAATGAAGTGTTAACTCCTTCAAATCCCTGACCAATTCACTTGTTAAATTTTCACTTGCTATTATGTCTATAATTTTTTTTAACAGTCACATTAGCAGCTTAAATTAATATGCATTATTTATTTATTGTGACAATAAGTTTTGGTATTTTTTGTTTTGTTTAGGTTATATCCCTTTGAATATTTTTCCTATTACTTTCCTTGAAAGGGTAATTTTTACAAATTAAATTTCGCTGTTTTGCTCATTGAAACCACAAATCTATGTGTGCCCGAGAGAATACATTTATCTGTCTCCCAAATTATTAAATACGGGTGTTTGTATTGTTGGGGATACCTCGTGTCCATTTAGGGGAATGGCTAAAAATACAACGGCAGTGCAGACAAAGATGAAGTAGAAGACGGGATATAAAATAAAGGGTTTTAGTTAGACCGCTATTCCCACTATGCCTGTATATAGGGGAGCTGTGAAGACCAAGATGAGGTAGAGGACGGGAAAATAAGAATTTCTTTTACTGTCCCGGTTGAAGCAGAGCATTGAAATCTAGTATTACATAAAGCAAAGTACTACGTATTTAAGTTGTCAATAGTTAATTGGAATTCAAAGTACTCTTTTAGAACAACTTATTTCAAATCGTTTGGGTTGCAGTATATGACAATTTTTTTTTTCTTTTAAACATTCAGAATAGAGGAAATTAAATGGTTTAATAGAACGTAGCTTTGGGAGAGAACTTGCAATAGCATACTTTGAGGGGAGGGGGGCATCTAGTCTGTCAAAAGGGAACATAATTTAGCCAGATATGACTATCAGTTACTTGATTGGCATGGATAGGTAATCATTCTACGCATCAGGACAGGACATAAGAAACTCAAAGAATATATGCTCATGTTTCGTCTGAGTATTTCACCATTGTCGGCGTCTGTGGCTTAGGCGTTGCAAACCGCTTCGTAATGTCGGGGTGCCGGGTTCGATCCCTACTGCAGATGGTTTGTCTTGCGATGTTTTCGACCGTGGTACCGAGAGCCGACCGTCCAGATGCAATGGCAAACGACTGGGCGTAAATTTGTCTAGAAAAACTACAACAGCCAGAAAGTGCTGAAGTTAGTTCTGCAATGTCCTGTTAAGGATACGCAACTAATTTTTTTTTAAGTTCACCATTGCACTAACGTGGGCTGTGTGTGCAAACTGCAGAAGATGGCCTGCAAGAATATCCTTTGTACTGCAATTAAGAAACGATTCTGACCTAATGAGTCAAAATTATACTCAGATTTGTATAGAACTAAAAGGTAACGCCCAACAACAATCTGTTCTATCACAAAAACTTATCTCTTGATGTAAACCAGGGATCGGTCACAAGAAGATGACGAAATAAGTAACAGAACTAAACAAATTCTAACCAAGAGGTGAAGAAAAGACGCTAGAGATGGTAAGGGCACGTGTTGAGAACACATGAGAGCAATACAACTAGAAGGGCTTTGCGGTGGAACTTAGAGGGGCATAGAGATAGGTGCAGACCAAAGAAGACACGGAAAGGGGAACTAGAGGGTAAAGTTAAACATCTAAGGAAGTAATAAGTGAGCTGCATACGATAGCAAAAGGTAGGATTGTGAGGTGCCTAAAGGCCTAGACTACCAATAAAAGGCAGACAAAGATGAATATAAGGATTGCCACAAATATATACTCTACCTTAATGCATTTTTCAAGATCTCAAAAACCTCAGACATAAAGGGTTATCTAACAGCCTCTGGGATATTGATCTCAACAAAATGAGTACTGAAGAGCTTCTGTTGACAATACACAGTTGTCTTGATAACGCACAGGTGAGTGTTTTTGACTGCACAGATCATTAAATAATAAATTCATTTAACAATATACATTTTTATAAAAACAGAACGTAGAATTTTAGCCTCAGCACCATTTCTCCTCTACCTACTCCTATTCCTTCTCCTCCTCCTGCTCTTCTTCTCCTCCTGCTCTTCTTCTCCTCCTGCTCTTCTTTTTCTCCTCCTCCTCCTCCTCCTCCGTCTCCTTCTTCTTCTTCTTCTTCTTCTTCTTCTTCTTTTTCTTCTTTTCTTCTTCTTCTTCTTCTTCTTCTTCTTCTTCTTCTTCTTCTTCTTCTTCTTCTTCTTCTTCTTCTTCTTCTTCTTCTTCTTCTTCTTCTTCTTCTTCTTCTTCTTCTTCTTCTTCTTCTTCTTCTTCTTCTTCTTCTTCTTCTTCTTCTTCTTCTTCTTCTTCTTCTTCTTCTTCTTCTTCTTCTTCTTCTTCTTCTTCTTCTTCTTCTCTTCTTCTTCTTCTTCTTCTTCTTCTTCTTCTTCTTCTTCTTCTTTCTTCTTTTTCTCTTCTTCTTCTTCTTTTCTTTTCTTCTTCTCTTCTTCTTCTTCTTCTTCTTCTTCTTCTTCTTCTTCTTCTTCTTCTTCTTCTTCTTCTTCTTCTTCTTCTTCTTCTTCTTCTTCTTCTTCTTCTTCTTCTTCTTCTTCTTCTTCTTCTTCTTCTTCTTCTTCTTCTTCTTCTTCTTTTTCTTTTAGCATCCAAAGGTTAGTTATCGTATAACCTATTCCAGTTACATTCAGCAATGCATCCTATCTCTAACTTAATAAACAAAGTGTATATAAGCCTGCTGTCTATTGTACAATTTGATGATTGCTACATGTTCCATTCAGTAAAGATGTACCTCTTGTCATCATTCTGGGGACTTGGGTGCTCAGATTCCCGTTTGTTTATATACCTTCTTGTTATAAACCTGGTCACCTGATCTCGTACTGGCAAAATGATATAAGGATGACCGGCGACAGAGACACGAAAGGCACATCACAGGTTTTACGAGGCTGACTACTAGAAGAAAAACGTAAATGCAAGACAAGCCAGACCTCCCGGACAGCAGACGAGTCTAACAAATCTATCAATAGACCGTGACCTAGTTTAGCTGGGGAAATTATAGTAGATCGAACCGCCATCACTAATCTGCAGTTTTTTTCTTCTTCTCTTCATCAACAGACGATCTGCGACAGAAAACTTCGAATGGGCAATATAGGAGATGGCGGATGGGAAATTTGTGATGACCCGGATGTTAGACCCATACCTCCTTGCATCGTTTACTCGTTTGGAATCAATTACGACTTTTCCTTTGATGACCAGGCGTCTAGTTTGTATGGATGTCACGTCTTTTCCTTTGATCCCAGCATGAAAAAGTTTCCGGATAAGAAGAACAGGTAACATGATCATCATCATCATCATCCTCATCATCATCATCATCATCATCATTAATTTCCACTTCTGCAGTTAAGCGTCATGGGGAGGAACAGTTTGCGATCCATTGCTTCATGGGCAGCAATGGCTTTTGCCATTCCATGTTGAAGTAGAAGCTCTTTAATGTCATCAGTTCAGATCTCTTAGACGACCTCTTGCTTTCACATCAGATCTTATCACGTCTAGCACCTGCCTGTAGTTTCTCTGGCTGCATTCTTATTATATAACCAAACCATCTGAAATTCTGTTTCTCAGTGATTTTGCTGAATGGTGTTGTTCCCACAGTCTGTCTGATAACATCATTTCTAACTTTGTCTTGGGTGGGTAAACTGGACGCTTTTCTCAGACATCTGATTCCACAGGTGTTTTGTTTACATTGGTTGGCCTCTGATACTGACCAAGTCTGGCACTGGTAGCACAGTGTTGGTATAAATATGCTAGTTATAATGTTTCCTGGCTCTGATACTTATGTTTGGATGTCTTAATAACGATGTCTAATGGATATAAGTGCACTGGCTCGTTGGAATTTGTTTCTATTTCCTCAACCTCAGCAATTTTTTTTAACTGTTTATAATTTCCCGCATCTGGGATCGAACCCAGCATCCAGTTTTTACGAAGCCAGCTGGCAACGCCAAAGCCCTTAGACGTCTTCACTAATAAAAAAATAAAGTTAAAAGAAAATCAAGCATCCTTTTTACGTCATTGGCACTGTGGCATATTGTGCTAGACTTCTATTTTTCAGTACATTCAGAATACGACGGGTGAGGTAAGTAATAGCACACATGCCGCCTTTACTTCCCATGTTCCTTCTAACTGGGGTGACCATACATCCCGGTTTTACAGGGACAGTCCTGTTTTTAGGCGTGCCCCGGGCCTCCCGTCAGTACTCACACGCCCTGAACTGCTTAGGATGTCCCGTTTTCAGCTAAAACTATTAGTTGGATGTCCCGTTCTCAGCTCAACATATTAGTGGAATGTCCCGTTTAAAGCTTAAGATATTATGGTCACCCTACTTTTAGCTACCCATTTATTATCCAACATATTGATTTCCTAATTTGTTTTCAGATCACCACTGGTGCACTTCTATAAAGTAGGACTGTCTAATACAACAGCCACAACAAGCAAAAAGTGGGCGTTAAAAACTTTCACTGACATCAGAGCCATGTTAGGACATACCACCACAAACATAGACATCGTTAAAATGGACATCGAGAATTCTGAGTGGCTAGCGCTGCCAGAGATGATCAACTCTGACCAGTTGACCACAGTCCGACAGCTCATGGTAGAGTACCACGTTGAGGAGTCAACGCGCCCGTTTCTATTGTCCAGCCTTCAGACAATCCAAGCTGTTGAAAAGGCCGGATTTAAGAAATATTATGTGCATAAAAATCCTGTTTGTGTTGAGAGAATTGAAGGTTTTCCTATTGCAAGAAGTCATTGTTATGAAGTTCATTATATCAGGAGATAATGTTATTGATGCATTTAGCTTAGTTTTCAAAGCAAGTTACATGTTTTCAAAAAATACTGTTCATTTTTGGTTTTGTCGAAATCAGTTAAGCGGTATGTCCTATGACAGTTATAGAACCACTACGAATATGAAATGAAATTTAAAATAATGCATTCAAAAACAAATGCCCGAGGGAATGAATGAATATTAAATGAGATAAATCCCTGTATGGATTCTCAATCCACATTTAGGTGAAAAACAAAAATACACCCACTGCCTTCTACGCGATATGTCGTAAAAGCCCACTTAACATGAGATCGCTGAAATCGGATGTATTGGGTTGAAATAGGCAGATAACGCAGCTTAACATAATAATAAAGCATGCTATATGTCATTTTAAGGGAGAACAGCTGAAGCACCAGCAGCAGCAGCAACAACAATAGAAGAAGAAGAAGAAGAAGAAGAAAAAGAAGAAGAAGAAGAAGAAGAAGAAGAAGAAGAAGAAGAAGAAGAAGAAGAAGAAGAAGAAGAAGAAGAAGAAGAAGAAGAAGAAGAAGAAGAAGAAGAAGAAGAAGAAGAAGAAGAAGACGAAGAAGAAGACGAAGAAGAAGACGAAGACGAAGAAGAAGACGAAGAAGAAGAAGAAGAAGAAAAAGAAGAAGAAGAAGAAGAAGAAGAAGAAGAAGAAGAAGAAGAAGAAGAAGAAGAAGAAGAAGAAGAAGAAGAAGAAGAAGAAGAAGAAGAAGAAGAGGAGGAGGAGGAAAAGAGCTGAAGTCAAGATAGGTGAAAACCTCCTAAAGAAAAAAAAAAAACATATGTAAATTTGATGGTATTGGTAATTAAAAATACAAGAACGACGACTGTGTTGCAGTGGGCACAGTCTAGACCAGTGTTTCCCAAAGTGGGTGCTACTGCCCCACGGGGGAGTGGGGATGCAGTGAGTCTGAGAGGGGCTAGGCACTGTAGCGACTCGATCAAAGTTGGGAGCTCTTGAACGCTCCAGAGGAGGAGGTGGCAGCCGCAGATGCAGCTAGGGAGCATTGAATGAAAATACGACAGCGAGAGAGAGAGAGAGAGAGAGAGAAAGAGAGAGAGAGAGAGATAGAGAGAGTGTGTATGTGTGTGCGTGAAAGAGAGAGAGAGAGAGAGAGAGAGAGAGAGAGAGAGAGAAAGGAAAGGGGAAGGGGGGAGGGGATTTTGATAAAATGTTCGTACCTTTCTTAGCGTATTGTAACATATTAAAATCCCATGGCTCAGTTTTCACTAAAGAAATTCTGTTATAACCAATTAGATTCATCCTGCTCATTAATAAATATGCTATTCTATTAGTTTTGTTTTAAATGGTAGATATGTTTCGTCTTTATTAGGACGAATTTTTTTGTTATTTGAAGCCCCACTTTGGCTTTTGCCAGGGGCCGCAATATAGGCAGGCCATAAATATGGCCAATTGTCTGAACGCGGTTTCTGGGACCTCTCCACGGCGATCCTCATCCACATGGTGGCACTTTGTGTCATCGGGTGTTTATCGCTTGTGTGATGTCCTGGTGGGGTAGAAAGTCAGTCAGTCAGTTTTGTTTTAATATTCCCATACTTCGTCACTGTGTGAAAGAGTGGTCTGAGCTGAAACTTTAGCAAGCAGAGGTTACAACTTGTATTTTCGGATGAGACTTTCTGTACCTAGATTTGACAGGGTAGCGTCTTCAGCTATACTGACTGTTCAGCGTGTTCAGTCAGTAAACACAGATGGAAAAGGGGGTGGGGGGGGGGGGGAAGTCTCTCAGAGCAACGTAAAAGAGCCGGGGTGTTCGTGATTTGTATAACCATCATTACTAAATGTTGTCACCAGCGAGTCTCCAACAGCCTACCTGAACCAGGGCTATATAGAACCAGTGCTTGACGACGACTTTTCTGTTATAGACGCCCACTGAAAACACCACAGCAGCCTGCTGTCTGCTTCAAAAGTCAGTGGGAAAAGTATCGAACTAGGCATTCATCTATCCAGCGCCCCAAACCTAGGCATTATTGCAGAAGCCATTCGTCTATCCAGAGCTCAAAACCTAGGCATTATTGCAGAGATCATTCATCTATGCAGAGCCCCAAACCTAGGCATTATTGCTGAGACCATTCATTTATCCAGAGCCCCAAACCTAAGCATTATCGCAGAGGCCATTCATCTATCCAGAGCCTCAAACGTAGGCATTATTGCAGAGACCATTCATCTATCCAGAGCCCCAAACCTAGGCATTATTGCAGAGGCCATTCATCTATCCAGAGCCCTAAACCTAGGCATTATCGCAGAGGCCATTCATCTATCCAGATCCCCAAACCTAGGCATTATTGCTGAGACCATTCATCTATCCAGAGCCTCAAACGTAGGCATTATTGCAGAGACCATTCATCTATCCAGAGCCCCAAACCTAGGCATTATTGCAGAGACCATTCTTCCATCCAGAGCCCCAAACCTAGGCATTATTGCAGAGGCCATTCATCTATCCAGAGCCCTAAACCTAGGCATTATCGCAGAGGCCATTCATCTATCCAGATCCCCAAACCTAGGCATTATTGCTGAGACCATTCATCTATCCAGAGCCTCAAACGTAGGCATTATTGCAGAGACCATTCATCTATCCAAAGCCCTAAACCTAGGCATTATTGCAGAGACCATTCTTCCATCCAGAGCCCCAAACGTAGGCATTATTGCAGAGGCCATTCATCTATCCAGAGTCCGAAACCTAGGCATTATTGCAGAGGCCTGGTGTTGCTCCTGCAGGACGATCCCTCTTTCGGCCATACTTGTTTACTAAAAAGAAGAAAGGGCGCAAATACTTTTCTGAGTAAAGCATGATGTAGAAGCTGCTTGATCACAAAAACAGTATTCTGTATGTCCGCATGTTGAAGCTTTGTTCATAGACCAACTGCCAACCAAATGAGTGTTCATTTATTTCTACATGATAAAAAAAATCATTTAGAAACAAAAAGTAAAAAGTCGTTTCAAACGAAATGCTTTAAAAAAAAAAAAAAAAACATCACACAATTAAAAAAAAACTAAAAATGAAAATATATATATATATATATATATATATATATATATATATATATATATATATATATATATATATATATATATATATATATATATATATATATATATATATATATATATATATATATATATTCATATAGTTTAATGAAACAAGAGATTAAGTAATTCTGTTTTCTAATTTATCGACTGTTTTATTATCACGGATAGTAACAGGATGGTATGCACTTGATAGTAAAATGTATGTTTATATTATATATATATATATATATATATATATATATATATATATATATATATATATATATATATATATATACACTGAGTCCCACGCCTTTGTTACAAATAATAGATGACGGTATAATGTTTAATAATGTAACTCAAGTACTTTTATCAAAATAAATGCCTCATAGTGTTTGTTAGTCATCATACTTTTTTTCAAGCTTCTACTTCTTGTTTTACCAATGATTTCTAAACCACACATCACAGATACAGCGAAATATCATCATGAAGTGCTTTACAGAACATCGCTCTCCTCAGGGCACGCCTGAGAGTATCCCTATCCCTAGCCAACTCTCCAGCCCCATGCGCCTTAATGTTCCGTTTCCATTTGCACGGAAGTCGACCCCTGCCTCGCTTTCCACAAACCGCACCCTCAATCCCCGTCTTTTGCAAGCCGCCACGACGTTTGATGTGGCTAAGATACTTTAACTTTCGGGTTAGGACGCTGTTTATGAGCCAGTTCTTATTGCTGTTTAACTCGTTCAGAATGTTGATGTTTTACCTTTTCTTGATCAATGGTATTCTGATTAATACCCGCCACAGAACAAGTCGCTAGGTGAATCAGTATCATGCAAAGAACAAGTAGCTAGGTGAATCAGTATCTGGCACAGAGCAAGTACCCGAAGTGAATCAGTATATGGCACAAACAAGTCGCTTGGTAAATCAGTATCTGACACAGAACAAGTCGCTAGGTAAATCAGTATCCGAGACAAAACAAATCGCTAGGTGAATCAGTATCCTGCAAAAAACAAGTAGCTAGGTGAATCAGTATCTGGCACAGAGCAAGTACCCGAAGTGAATCAGTATATGGCACAAAACAAGTCGCTAGGTGGATCAGTATCCTACACAGAACAAGTCGTTAGGTAAATCAGTATCCAACACAGAACAAGGCGCTAGGCGAATCAGTGTCCGGAACAAAAAAGTCGCTTGGTAAATCAGTATCCGGCACAAAACAAGTCGCTTGGTGAATCAATATCCAGCACACGAGAAATTTTACTTTCCGTGGGATCTAGAGTGGCGTAGTGGCTAAGATGCTGGCATGTCGCCCCAAAGATCTAGTGTTCAAATTCGCAACCAAGCGGATTTGTTGGGGCGTCAGAATTTATTTTGGCTGCCAGCTCATTAATTTTACTTTGAGTAGCTTGCCATTGTTTTCTAAACATTTCCACGTTTTATTTTATTTTTGAAATCAACACAAAGCGGTTTGCAGTCAAATGTCTTGCAGCTGGCTTAGAACCCTCGTATGCTGGAATTACGAAACTGCGCTTATAAAACGTAATTTACACAGTAAGGAAGGTAAAGGACTCTTGACGCTTTTTCTGTGTAATAAATGTAGTAAAGTACCCGGTGTAATAAAGAATAGGGCCACAGCATTATCTCAATATGTCGTAAAAGGCGACTAAGAGGGGTTGGGTAGTCGCCGTGGCGTAGCGGCTAGACGCTCGCGTGCGGATCCGAAGGTTGTGGATTCGCACCCTGGCTGGGCCGGACATTTTTTCAAAAAAGACCTTGGCTCCCAGGTCGACCCAGCCTTGAGTGGGTACCGGGTGCAGTCCCGGGAGGTACAGCGGCCGGCATGATGATGACCATATCATCCATCTTGTGACGTTTCGTCTATAAAAATATAGGTCTAGCCTAATATGCCCTATACACCTAAAGGCGTGGAAAAAGGTCCTTCAATTTTTTGAAGAGGGGTTGGACGTGGTGCCATCAGTGTTTAAAAAAAAAACGATATAGAATAAAACTGCTTTAGAAACAGAGACAATCACAAAAATAAACAATACTCTCGGAGATCCGGATGTTTTAAGTAACAGGAAAACTGTCAGTGATGAAGGAGTGGGGGAAAGCCTGCGGAGAAACCCAGCCCCGATGACCTGCCTCTTGCGCCCAGGACAGCTAGAATGAGGCAGGCCCAGAGGCACTTGGAGGAGAACCTTTCAGGCTGAACTTAAAGATACGCGAAGGAAAAAACTAGAGATAGAGAGGATAGCTCAGGATCGAATTGTGTGGCGACAGTTTGTTACTGCCCTATGTGCCTCTGGACGCGATGAGGACTGAAAGTGAAGGACTCCTTTCTAATATTTCAGGCGTATTGGGCATATGGGGCTGGACCTTTTTTTACAGACCACCCGGCACTCGGTGGGTGATGTGGTCTACACATCCGCCTTTTCTTCCTTGGAAGAATAAGCCTGGGTCAGCCTGCCAGCCAAGGTCTGATTTGAAATAAACGACCCGCCTGGATGCCGATTTGATCTCTAATCTTTCAGGCTGGCATGCCAGCGCGAGCCGCTGTGCGTCCGTGGTTTTCATTTGATTACATAGACTGAATCATTTTTAACCAATACAATGTCATATAAGCCCCTGTGGCCCTGTTCGTGCATCTGCAAAGCTATTTAGAAGCATGGCCAAATGATCGATCTATTAAAAGATTGGTGAAAGGAATATTTGCATATATGCCAGAACTGAACTAAGCGATTTTTACGAGCCTATAGGGTCGTCATAAATGGTAATCTTAGACCAGAGCTTTCAAAACTGTTTATAAAAGTAACACATTCAGTCTATTAGCAAACCATAGGTTAAACCATTCTAAAACATGAACACCACCATAGCTTTACGTTTTTGCGTACATTTTCACACTGCAGCCGAGACTCTTATCTGTAGCGTCACGTAGTTTTGAAAAGCATTCTGGCATGTTTCCTAGAGCTTAGGGAAAAAGTGAATACCCTCCGCAAGGATGTGAAAAAAAAAAAAAAAAAGAAAAAGGGGTAATGTGAATCCTGTGTATTTTGGTGATATTGGAAATTTGCAGTGTTTGCTGTCTGTGTTTGGGCACGGAAAGAATTAATGACGACACGATTCACTGCCTCTTGCTGTTCAAGTGTTAGGAAAATCACAGTGACCCCTGAAATTATTTTTAGCAGGTACATTTTACCCCACTAGGACATCACGCAAGCGATAAACACCCGTTGACACAAAGTGCCACTATGTGGAGGATGATGACCCGTGTAGAGATCTCGGAAACCGCGTTCAGCCATTAGACCATGTTTATAGCCGGGCTATAATGAGGCCCCTGGCAAGAGCCAGGGTTGGGCTTCAAAATAACGAAAATTTGCATGCTACAGGGGATGACTAGTTAAGTTACCCCTGAAATTGCTACCAGGAAATATAAAATGAATTTAAGGAGATCAGGGAGTTTGGCCACAGGAGCTATTAATCTTGACCCTATTGTTGTATAGAAGATAAGTCTAGCAGCATACACCCCGAACATCACTGGCGTTGAAAACTGGTTAGTTGCGTATCCTTTAAAGGATGCAGCAGAACCAACCCCAAAAGCCCCTGGCAGTTGTGTGGTTATTCTAGGCGAGTTTACGTTCAGTAGTTTGCCATTGCCCTCTGGACGGTCGGCTTTCTTGATACCACTGTCGAAACCAACTCAAGGTGCATGGCCTGCAGCTGGGATAAAACCCGGCATCCCGGCATTACGAAGCGTTCGCATCGACTTAGCCACAGAGCCGGCCGTTGAACACACATTTTGCTAATACTCTGGTCTCTACATATAAGGAGTAAAGGATTTTCCCCCCCACGCCTTTAAGCGAATTGGGCATATGGGGAAGGCACATATTTTATAGACCAAACGGCACCAGGTGGGTGATTTGGACAACACCACGCCGGCATCCTTTAATTTCCAAGACTGTGAGCGTGTCTGTGTAACTGTATATATCTGTGTGTGTATGTGTGAGTATGTGTGTGTGTGTGCGCGCACACGCCCCAATATTTAAGAAAATTGTGTAACAATTGAACGCAAACTGTACTTGATATAGAAACAAAGGCGAATTAAAAAAAAAAAAAAATCAGTAAACAAAAAGACTCGCCTAAGGCACAAAAAAAAAATACTTATATTATGTGACCGGCGCTTGCGTTGTGGTCCATGCAGTTAGCAATGAGTTTCAGTTTCGAATAGCCAGATTTCCTTATCCTATTCACATCAACTGTACACGATAAATACACACGGGACGGCGTGTAATATATACATATAATACATATAATAGATGACCTCTCATTTATTGCCTTTAAACTACTGAGCATTAAATTGCCTTATAAAATCACTACACATATTAGCCAGTAAATACTTCGGTTGGTTTACCATAACTTTAGGTTTTTTATATTGCTAAGCGCTGTGGTTCCTAGTTGGAAAAGACCAGGAAAACCTCTTGTTTGCGAAAGTACGTCTGGAACCCCATACTTTTCAAGTAATACTTGACAAACCCCCCACCCCCCATACAAAAAAAGCTATAGTGTGTCTTTGTACCCCTCTACTTCTATCTAAGAGGGCCAATCAATCTATTTAAACTTGTTTATCTGTTTTAATGATCTCAAGAGTACCCCGACCTGATTTTGTGTGTGTCTATTTGGTTTACGAAGTTATTTCATTGCAGTGTTCTTCAACATTTTTACACATAGGCTCTAGAAAAAAAATGGAAGAAATATTTTGCAGAGCGGTGGACGTCTAAGGGATTAACAAATGAAGGTTTCATTTTATTTTTTAAAATCGCTTTTATAAAAATTCAAATTATAGTTGATGCGGCATCTGCTTTTTTTTTTGTTTGTTTGTTTTACTTTTTCTTTCTCCTTATTAGATTAAAAATGCCAAATATGTGGCCGGAGATGCAACAACATCAATTTGATTTTTTTTTTATCTTGTCTCCATTGTAGCTTCTACTTGACTGGGTGGTCATTACTGGCAAACACAGAGAGCAAAATATTTTGTTCCTTTATTATCACAGAGAACGCAATCTATAAGTTTATTTATTAGCATACACAAAGAACACAATCTAAAGTTCATTTATTAGCAAACACAAAGAACACGGTCTCTTGATCATTTATTAGCAAACATAGAGGACGCAATCTTTTGTTCATTTATTAGCAGACACAGAGAATACAATCTTTTGTTCATTGATTTACAAATATAAAGAATACAATCTTTTGTTCATTTATTTTCAGATTCAGAGAACAAAATCTATTGTTCATTTATTATAAAATATAGAGAACATAGTCTATTGTTCATTTATCAGGAAACACAGAGACCACAATCTTTTGTTAATTTATTATTAGAGTCAGAGAACACAATCTATTGTTCATTTATTATCAAATTCAGAGAGTACAATCTATTGTTAATATATTAACAAATCCAGGGAAAGCCTATGTAACATCGTGCGAGCAAACAGTCGGTGAAACATCTAGAGAACTCCTAGACCTAGGCCCAATAAAATACTTGAGAACTCCCCTGATGAGCGTGGTCAACGACTGAGGCTCTCTCTCGAAGGAATACATCACACAGGCCATAGACAAGGCGAACAGAAGCGTGAATCCACGAGGAAACTTAGGGATGGAACAAAGCTTGGAGCCTTTCATGAAGTTGTCGATAACATATACAACCTGTGGAATGGCAAAGAGGACCAGCTCCTTCCGGCGGCTCGGCCTGTGGATGTCAAGGCGAAGGTTTCAAAAGCATCGCTCATTCCCGTCTCCACATTAGATAGCAAGTTTCTTGGCAATCAGAAGGGCAATAGCACAGCAAGGTCAGGTGGTACCCGGTGCGGAACATTCTCAATCACCACCCCATGTGTGTGTGTGTGTGTGTGTGTACACATATATAAAACTCATATTTTGCAGTTTTGTCACTCTCCCTCCCCCTCTCAGGGATATCACACCCTTTTTCTACGCCACTTCCTAGGGAATTCCCTAAATTGTGGACGGAAGTGCACCTTTCAGAGACCCCCAACCCCCTCCCCAACTTAAAAATTTAAAAGACCCCAAAAATT